CTGGAGGATAGGGGACGTGCTTGGTGTAAGTTACACACACACACACACACACACACACACACACACACACACACACACACACACACACACACACACACACACACACACACACACACATTCTCTCTCTCTCTCTCTCTCTCTCTCTCTCTCTCTCTCTCTCTCTCTCTCTCTCTCTCTCTCTCTCTCTCTCTCTCTCTCTCTCTCTGTCTCTCTCTCTCTCTCTCTCTCTCTCTCTCTCTCTCTCTCTCTCTCTCTCTCTCTCTCTCTCTCTCTCTCTCTCTCTCTCTCTCTCTCTCTATCTATCTCTCTCTCTCTCTCTCTCTCTCTCTCTCTCTCTCTATATATATATATATATATATATATATATATATATATATATGTATGTATGTATGTATGTATATATATATAGACACACACACACACACACACACACACACACACACACACACACACACACACATATATATATATATATAATATATATATATGATATATTATTATATATATATATTTATATATATGTATGTATGTATGTATGTATGTATGTATGTATGTATGTATATATTACACACACACACACACACACACACACACACACACACACACACACACACACACACACACACACACACACACATATATATATATATATAATATATATATATATATATATATATATATATATATATATATATATATATGATATGTATATATATATATATATATATATATATATATATATATATATATATATATGATATATATATATAGAAAAAAAATGTAATATATATATAGAGAGAAAAAAAATATATATAATATATATATATACATATACATATATACATATACACCTATACATAAATATTCTCTCTGTCTCTCTCTCTCTCTCTCTCTCTCTCTCTCTCTCTCTCTCTCTCTCTCTCTCTCTCTCTCTCTCTCTCTCTCTCTCTCTCTCTCTCCTTCCTTCCCTCCCTCCCTGCCTCCCTCCCTCCCTCCCTTCCTCCCCCCTCCCTTTCCCTTTCCCTCTAGTTTCTCTTTCTGGACAGATACACCGTAGGTAAATTCCCGTATACATTACCAAGACTTCTGTCAGCCTGTATAAGTCCAGGAGAGAGTAGGAGCGAGAGGCGACGGCAAAAGCGGGAGCGAGTCTTCTGTGTAGGAAGCGAGAGGAGGGGGGGGGGGGAGGGCAGCACGTGGTACGAGGAGGTAAAGAAGTATGGCGGGTCTCGGTGTGATGGTGGGTAATATTAGGTGGCGGCGTGTGTGTGGGCGTGAGGAATGCGGTGTAGAAAAGGCGTGGGGGACGCGCGGCCGCCCACACGTGTAGGTAAGTGAACGTAAGAGGAGGCCAGGAGATCCGGATGCTTTGCTTGTTTTTGGGCTGTTGGTCCCGTGCTGGGGGGGGGGCGTTAGCTATTCTTACATGCCAAGCGTTAATATTTTCTACGGGTGGGAATCATTTAATTTTAGATGTACGTTGTCATTATTTCATTCTCATCATTATAGACATGATTACTTCTAAACGATGTAGGTTATGCAATTGGACTCTTTATTCGATTATTCAATTATTAGTTGTTGTTTTTTTCACCAAGACAACGTGAAAAGTTACAGATGGATTATGATAGAAAGTCACGGCAAGGTTGCCAAGAGTCCCAGGATCCAGTTGATTAGATTTTGGTGGTGATCCAGAGTAGAGGGTAGATGATGATGAGTAGTTTTATGGCAAGATGTAGCATATGAGTAGAATTTTGGGGTGAACTAAGGTAAAGGAAGGTAGTTAGTGGTATATTAAGGAAAAAATTTGGGGTAGAAAATGTAGATATCTTAAGCAGTAAGATGAGGATGGATGATTGTTATATAGCATATGAGGTAGAATTAGATTAATTTTATGGGGAAAAAGTTGCAAATATATGAGAACTTACGGGTAGACCAAGGTTGATGAGGGTAGATTAAAGTGGATATTAGGAGTAAAATAAGTTGATGCCCACAGTAGACATTAAATGATAAATTGGTTTAGGTGAGTAGAGTAGATTTTATGATAGATTGAATAGATTTTTAGTAGAAGGTGAGAGAGTAAAGATTAATGGCAAGTTTGTATTTTGAGTCATTAATCTGAATATTACAATTATTATTTTAATAATTATAATATTCATAAGTGTTCTTATGATTTTATGCTTTGTTAATCGCCCATTATAGCCATGCCTATGCCATAGTTTGTTACCTACTATAAAGCAGTTACTCCCACTGCCACTGTTTAGATGGCCTTCTGTAGGCTTACAGCACCATTTGTGGAACTTATGCTACTACTGTTACTACATGTACCTTTAACTACTGTTATCATTATTATTTATATTTATTATTGCCAGTAGTTGGTGTACTATTCATATTACTATTGCTACCTTATAAGTGATTTTCACAGTTATCACGAACAACAGAAGCAGTATATAAATAGTCTAGTATAAACTCTTCTCAAAGGGACAATGTGAACTAACAAAAAGTAAGGTTATTTAGTCAAGATTCCCAAAATACTACCATAAATATTATAAAACTACTAGAGAAAAGCAGCAAGAGGAATTGTAAATCACATGACTATCAGAAAAATAAACATGATTAGCCTTCTGAAGATCCTTGCACTAATATTATACTGACACTAATACCCAAGGAATGGAAGATTCAGTGTGACTCTACATAACAGTCCAAAGATATTTTTTCATATGTTTAAGATTAATGTATCAATGACCTTAAATTCTGCGTTTATCTGAACAGTAAGTGTGTATGAAAGAACACACACACACACGCACGCACGCACACACACACACACACACACACACACACACACACACACACACACACACACACACACACACACACACACACACACACACACACATACACACACACACACACACACACACACACACACACACACACACACACACACACACACACACACACACACACACACACACACACACACACACACACACCATACACACACATACACACATAAACACACACACACACACACACATATAACACACACACACACACATATAAACACACACACACACACATATAAACACACACACACACATAACACATACACACACACACAAACACACACACACACACACACACAACACACACACACACACACACATGAACACATACACACACACACACACATGAACATTCCACACACACACACACGAACACACACACACACACACACACACACACACACACACACACACACACACACACACACACACACACACACACATGAACACACACACACACACATGAACACACACACACACACACATGAACACACACACACACACACACACATGAACACACACACACACACACACACATGAACACACACACACACACATGAACACACACACACACATGAACACACACACACACACACACACACACACACACACACACACACACACACACACACACACACACACATGAACACACACACACACACACACATGAACACACACACACACACACACACACACACACATGAACTCACACACACACACACATGAACTCACACACACACACACACACACACACACACACACACACACACACACACACACATGAACACACACACACACACACACACACACACATGAACACACACACACACACACACACACACACACACACACACACACACACACACACACACACACACACACACACACACACACACACACACACACACACATGAACACACACACACACACACACACACACACACACACACATGAACACACACACACACACACACATGAACACACACACACACACACACATGAACACACACACACACACACACATGAACACACACACACACACACACATGAACACACACACACACACACACACACACACACACACACACACACACACACACACACACACACACACACACACACACACACACACACACACACACACACACACACACACATGAACACACACACACACACATGAACACACACACACACACATGAACACACACACACACACATGAACACACACACACACACATGAACACACACACACACACATGAACACACACACACACACATGAACACACACACACACACGAACACATACACACACATGAACACACACACACACACACACACACACACACACACACACACACACACATGAACACACACACACACACACACACACACACACACACACACACACACACACACACACACACACACATGAACACACACACACACACACATGAACACACACACACACACACATGAACACACACACACACACACATGAACACACACACACACACACATGAACACACACACACACACACGAACACATACACACACATGAACACACACACACACACATACAGAGAGAGAGAGAGAGAGAGAGAGAGTGAGTGAGTGAGTGAGTGAGTGAGTGAGTGAGTGAGTGAGTGAGTGAGTGAGTGAGAGAGAGAGAGAGAGAGAGAGAGTGAGTGAAAGATTGGAACAGACTCCTATAACAAAAGCACAAATGCTCCAGATGTCTCCAGACATGAGGCCATGGAACACAATAAGCAGTCAAGGTTGCTATAAGATTGTAGATGACATAACAGGAAAAATCATCTACTTGACATGCTTATCTGAGGGCAAGTTGCGGCATATGAGTAACATCCTTTTTACACTATGATTTGACATTTTAAGATGTCATCAGTAATTCATGAGGCAAATTTATTTATTTGAAAAATGAAATATTTTTATACATTTTGAGGAAAACAATCTGATACATTAACAGTTACTGACAATGAGTGTGTTGTACTAGTAGGAAGATGTATATTGATCATTATTCTTATAATATGTAGTGCCTCCAATTTTAAAGAATTTTTAGTTGTGTGCTTGATTTTATAACAGTGTGTACCTATTACCTTTTGGTTATTGTTTATTATATGTAATTATTTTCCTTTGCAGTGCATGAGATGTTGCATGTGGCCCGAGAGTGCTCAAACAGGGAAGCAGGTGGTCGCCTTTTAACTTTTGGGGAACTCTGCCTCTTCACCACAGAGTTGCGACAATGTTACGAAAAAGAGTAAGTATTCCCATATTGTTACAGATTATTGGTATCTTTGATTAATGTCAGTGTCTGTTTAATACTTGATTTAGAAGATATTTAAGTATTAGATATGTTAGATAATGGATTTATTCTCTTCTCTTCCATAGGACTCCTCGGCCAGCACTTCTATCAAAGTTGTCAGACAAATCCGTTGGAGACAAGAAAAGAAGTGAGAGAAAAATGTCAAGTGAGTTCAGATAATGTTCAGAATTTATGTTGTTTATAATCCTGTGATCCTTAAATACTTACATATCTCTCTCAACAATATGTAACTTCTGAGTTACATGGAAATTCATTTTCGAAGTTTTGTAGCAGAAATATGTCAAATAACTTTTTATATATTTACAACAGAATCATCACCTAAGTATGAGGTTTTCCTGGGTGGGTCGTGTAACCCCACGACCTGGCGTCAAAATGTGGCGATCCCCATGCTGAAGGATCAGGGCATCTCCTTTTATAACCCAGTAAGCATACACCTTTTGAAGTACTTCTCTAAAATGGGAATAGTTTTTGAACTCACAAAGTATATTTTATATTCATAAATCTGTTCTTCTTCGATCTGTTCTTGGAACACTTACACTCTTTTGTTATTATATCAACATATAATATATCAACATATTTGCAGTTATAGATTGTAAGAAGTCCATCTTTATCATTCCAGCAAGTGTCTCACTGGGAAGAAGCACTGGTGGAGCTGGAGTATCAGGCAAAACAGACTGCATCAGTACTGTTTTTTGTGCTGGATAGAGCAACTCGTAATGTAGCATCAATGATAGAAGCAGCTTTCATGGCTGGCTGCCGTCGTAAGCTTGTGGTTGTCATGGACTCTTATACAGGTCCAGGGCAGCTGATTGGGGGAGAAGCAATCTCAGAGCTGTAAGTTACTGATTTTGGACTTATATAAAAAAAAAATAATAATAATGAATAAAAAAATGCTACTACTGTATGTACATTATATAGAGAGGGCAAAGACACTTTTTATTGCAAATAATGACTGAAGATATCATCCTTTCATTAACTGTAGAAGAAATATGGAAATTGATATAAAAAGGAAGAAATCAGTAGCCTATGTTAAGTATGTACTTTCCATTCAATATTGAATAATAGTTTAGAAGATTCACAGAGCATTCTGTAACTTATCAAAATAATGACCTGTTGCAGAGAGTACAGGGAACTTACCAATGGCCTCCACACAGTGCAAGACCTTGTGGAGAGGCAAGGAATTCCAGTCTTTCCTGAGATTAATCATGCTCTTAATTGTACAGCTAAGGTATGTTACTTCACAAGTATCTCCAAACTGTCACATAATTTTTTGTCTTTTGCTCATTTTATATGGACAGATATATATTTTTCTGACAGTTTTCCTCATTTTCTTAACAATTTTTCACTTATATTATTTTCATAGATGCTATGAAGAAATGATTTCTTTTTTATCTTTATTCTCACAATTGCATTATCTGTCTAGATTCTTCGAGAGAATCTTCGACCTGAAGACCTTGGTCTTGAAGATCAAGTGCAGCCCATTAAGTATCCCTATCTTCAACTTGGAGACAAGCTGATGTAAGTTGGGGAGATTATGATTCTTAACTATTTGGCAGTTGTGTTAAAGAGGAATATCTTATGAGGTTCTTGTGTGCCCTGAATGTTAAATTTAGAAATATTACATATATGTTCAAGATGGTTGTTAAATATATACTTAATTTTGAAGTACTTTTACAAGTCTAAGTGTCTGTTAATTTTACAGAAAGCTTCATGATGCATTTGTCAACACCAATTCAGAGCATATAACACTAGCAGAGGTAAGTAGCACTTACTTGTAATTACTACAATAGAAAAAATAACAGTCTTACAAGAATATAGACTATAATTTAAGTATGCAGTATATTGAAACATATGACTTTGGTTGATACATTCATTCTTCCTGCAGGCACGGGTAGCATACAAAGTGGTCACAAATAAGGAACTGACTAATGAAGAACTCCAAGCAATTGTTGCAGCTAAAAAAGGTGAGTTTGCAAGGAGCTAAGCTATTATTTAGACTTTTATATGGGTACATATTTCTCTTTTTTCTTTCTTTCTTGCTTTTGCTGACCTCAAGAATTTTAAAAAAATAATAAAAAGGTCATGCAATTCCTTTACATTATTGTATTTAATAATAATAAATTTAATAAAAGTATGACTATAACTGTAATGAAAATTGTGTGTCACATAGATGAAGCTAGTTGTAAACTAAAGAAATTAAAGAATGATACTGCTTTTACAGGAATGGAGATGCAGGAATTGAATGGTACAGAGCTCCCACTCAGTGATGTTTTTCTCACCTTTGATGAATTTTGCTGTATTGTAGCAGAGTTTAAGAATCAGAGATTAGAAAGCAGGAGACTCTGGGATGTTTTTACACACTCGGTTGTGTCTCCAATTCAGAAAGTGTTTAGTAAGTTGAAATATCTTTGTAAATGGAAATATTTTGAACTGAAATGAAAATGGAAATCTGAACAAAGATGAAAAAAATCTATTCTGTATATTATTGAGTTAAGAACCAAGTCTTTCCTGCTTCAGGTTGGGCGTTACCACGACGACCACTGAGGCCAATCAGCAGTACAGGAGAGCGTGATGTGTACCTTGGAGGATCTCTAGGAAACAGAGAGACATGGCGTGAAGACATTGCCATTCCTATGCTTTTGAAACATGGGCTCTCCTTTTTCAATCCTGCTGCCAGTGCTTGCTCAGGACGACTGCTGCCCATGGAGGCTGCTCTCATGGAAAACTCAAGGGTTCTCCTCTTTGTTATCACTAACACAACGCTGGGTGTATCTGCAATGGCACTGGTGAGCTGTGGTTTTATTACTTACCATATATTAATTTGGTTATTTCTTTTTTTGCCTCCTTTACTAAAGTAAATGATACATATATCTTTACAAGTAAATATATATTACATACTTTTTTCTTATTTTCAGGCATCACATTACATTGGCCTTGGTTGCAATGTTGTTTTATGTATACAGATGTTAACTGCAGATGCAACTATCTGTGGAGAACAGGTCAGTGGTATGATTAGTCTCTTACCAAGAAATTACATAATATGTTCATGCAATAAAAGTGATATATTCAATATATTATGTTTTTTTTAATTTGCCTAATTTCCCCCACAGTTATCTCGAACTGCAGTAAAGGACTACAATCGAGGAAGAACATATCTTATAGATCAAGCTAACAAAGAAGGGATTCTAATCTTCAAAAACATCCAGGAAGCTGTTGAATGTGTTATAAACAAATGTCGTACAAGATAGTCAAACCAAGTGTTTATGAGTGTGTGATCTGTGTATCAAAGAAAATTTGTGCATAAAGATATAAGTAAAAACTTACATGAAGATTTAAGAGGCATGTTATGGCTGTCTGTATGTTTTTATGGATGATTGAATGTGGGAAGCATTTATTTGCTGAAGCACTGAAATTCTCCATGTTAGAAAACTACGTGTTAGAAAAGAATTCTTCTGAACAAGAATTTCCAATGGAACCTAACAAGTGGAGCAGCTAGATTCCCAGAAGTTTGTGTCTCTTACAAACATATGCAGGTGTTGATCACCATCCCTTTTCTGTCTGGACAGGTGTAGATGAGTTTATTAGGTGTTGAAAAACCATTGTTTACTGGTGTCGGTGAATTTCAACTGTAATATATCAGGCTTGTTCAGTTGTGTTCATGAACATTAAACATGTGTTGTGGACTTGTATGAAGTTGATCTGTTTTCTGGATATGAAATCCAGTCATGGAGATGTGCCCCAAGGAAAAATTAATTGTGGGCTTCATGAGTGCAGTTAAAGCTAATGTCCAACCAGTGCAGCATAAAAAGAGCAGCAAGAATATGATAAGCTTCAAGGGCAGAACTGGCAAAGTGTCAGAATAAATGCCTTTATAGTATATTCTAAAAATATTATGTGCATTCATGTTACAAATGAACCTGGACTGAACAAAAGGTGAGGTGAATGATTCCTCAAGGGAACTGTAGAGAGATTGAGATGAAAGGAACTGATAAATGTTATCAAAAATCAATCATGAACTCCCAAATTAGAGTATAGGGCTTTCCTATTAAGTGTATTACAGAAATCCTATTTGATTGGTCAAGTTTTTCAAGTGGTAAATCCATTGCTAGAGATGGAAGTTTCTGATCACCCTGAGGGAGTATGGGAAGTGAATATGTTTTAAACTAATTTATATAAAATACTCATGTAGGTATCTCGTATGATTTATGTAGTTGCTTAAGAAATCTTGTGCCAGTTGGAAAAAGATCCACAGAAAGTGGGGATAGGTCAAGTTGCAGAAAGAGTAGCTAGATATCAGTCATGAGACAGGTAGCAGACAGTGTTGGGTCTCTCCTAAAGTTTTGAAGTGAATCATTATTATTGGAAGGAAAGTACAGTCAGTTTTCACCTTTTATTTTGTGTAGTCCTAAGGATTGGGATTGCTAAACTTGTCTCATGTCATTAGCTGGTACAGGAAGACATCTCAGGTTTGCAGATGATTGAATGTCATCTTTGTTATTGTTGTCCATTCTTTCAGTAGAGTGAGAGTGAGTCGGCCTCTTTTAACATTTGGTTAGAAGCTTAAGTACAAGCTCCCATGTCAGGAATATCCCCAGTGTTGGATGCAATATTGTGTTTTTGGGTATCTTGAAGTGTCGCAGGCACATTACTCAGTGTTTAAGATTCTCACAAGGTTGTACAACTTCATACTGCATCACGTTTCAATACATTCCCTTTGTGAAGTGTTTTAATGGTGCATCTTTAATCTTATTCTTTTCTCTTCTTTTAACTACAAGGATTACAGATAGATGGCAGCTTTTCTTTGATAGCCTTTAGCATGAATGCTCATATGATTTAGCCATAACCACTGTCATTCCATTAATAATGTGCCTCTATTGACAGTGGATAGTTTAGTGTATACAGATAACCCACCGCAATTTGAATATCTCTCAGTAAATCAGCTAATTTCCTGAGATGGCTGGTTATGTGGTATTCAAAACCTTCAGTCGTAAAGCTTGTTCAATCAGTTACACTGACAATCTTTAAAGGAGATATTTTCATAATTGCATGCACTAATATATTTCACCCACAATGCTCTGCATATAAGGTATGTGAGTCTGTTCATGCTTTTCTGATATTTTGTGTCATCCAGTTGTTATTGGTACAGAATTGTATCATTAAAAACTCTTCTTGCTCATACATTGTCATACAGTGTTATTCTTTGTAGACAGTATTGGTATTCTAAAATTCACAGAGAATGTCATCAATAGTTTTTGTATATTTGTTGTCATCATCAAAATGCACAGATGTCACATTTACATTATGTTAAATTTGGATATAGTTGAATATATAGTTTATCAGTCTCAAATTTCCTCTCTTAACATTTTTCAAATCAACATCTTTGTTGAATCTCCACTGCAGGTCAATTGAAAAGCAAAAACATTGATGTAAATATTGTAAATAAATTCATAAATGATGAAACTAGACTTGGTAGAGGATTGGTTCACAGTTTACAGCCTCTCTTTAGTAGGTCTGATCAGTGAAAGGCTTGCTAATTTTTTCCCTCCATTTTTCTGAACATAAAATATGAGGACTATGCCAGTGTATAGGCTAAAACAAGATATAGGATGTTAAATTATGAAAGTAAGGTCACTAGGTTGAAAAGATCGATTTACTATACATAACATTTTATTTTTATAAGATTTAAAGTATATAGCATCATTATTTTAATTATAATATTAAAATATAGTTGGAGAAGTACTATTAATAAATGTATAAAGATATATATATATATATATATATATATATATATATATATATATATATATATATATATATATATATATATATATATATATATATATGTATGTATGTATATATATACATAAACATATACATATACATATACATACACATATACATACACATATACATACACATACACATACATACATAATTGCCTGCAGCAATGTTGCAGTCCCATTTTTTTATAATTATTTTTTGTTGTATATGATGCCATTTTTGGTCATATCCAATTGGCTGACACACTAACTATAGAGTATATACTGATGAATATTATTGATATTTATTTTTACATCAGCATTCAGAAGTACTTTTTCATTCTTGTATGCAGTGATGGGGATATGCTTATCATCGAGGCAAAAGAGATTGCATGCATTCTTATTTTTCACTTCAGTTGCTTTGAAATAATCCATCCATTAAAAGTCAATTATGACCCTAGAATGTAGGAGTTACATTCATATCTAGAAATGTGCAATTTCAGATTACTTATATCAGCTGTTTGTATTCCAAATGTATTGCTCAAATTCAGTTTATTACTCAATACATATAATATATATATTATTTTATTCTTAATATATTCCCATACAGCTGCTTATTATATATGCCATCAACATGACTGCAATATTTCATTAATGCCCACACTTTCACCAACACACTCATTATCAGTTCAGTAGTGACCTTCCTAAAAAAAGGATATTCTTTATCTTTCCCAATGAAGCAATGTATAATTTCTGTCTCTAAAATATTATTAACCTAGAGCTGCTTTAAAGGGTATTTCACTTCAGGGAGGAATTCTAGAATGTTCTCATTTCTACAGTGACAGCTTTTGTGGATGATGGGCAGGTGTAGTGAACACCAGTTTATGTGATATTTTATTTATTGGAAACCTGTACAACAGCTGATTTTATATCCTTTTTATTAAGATGGCTGCCATATTTCATTTGTATTGTAGATCACTAAATGGTTTGTGTATACCACAGTATCATATTATATTAAAAATATCTGTCTCATCAGTTAATTATTCGTTGTGAACCTATATTGACTGTGTTGTGGTGATGAAGACAAGTTATTTTTCACATGTGGCCAATGCTTTTCACCTTTGCAAATTACAACCCCCTTAGCAACTGTTGCATACGAAGTTTCCTTCCCCACTCCCCTTTTATGTTTTTTGTACAAATGGGAGTTAATAAGACAGAGTGAAGGGCAGACTTATTTAGACATTATGATGTGATACATATGTTGACAACCTTCTGTAAGAGTGTTGAAGGGATGCTCACCCATCATGACCCTGATGTATACATTTGTTAATAGCAGCTCCTGGTTTAGGCTGCTCGAATTATGATGGAGATTATGGCAATAAGTTTTCTTGTTTATGTAATTAAAAGGTAGATTTGGTCAATGTGTTTGCCTGCAGTACACATGAGTATGTGTATATATATAATTGTATATCATAGATTATTTTTACAAGAATCATTAACTAGCATTGAAAGCTGTGTTTCCTTTTAACCTATTTATGTCATACATATGACAAGAAAAACACTAGTTTTGCTAAGAGTTGCATTACCTTGCATTTGAAGCAGTTCCCAGCATGGGGTAATTTTAGCCTTCGTGGCTCTTCCAGAGGGAATTACTTTTGGGATAGACACAAAAAAATCTTGAATATGCTATATTTTTCATCAATTACAAACCAAAAAGTCTCGTCTGTGAGAAGATAGCCCAAAGCAGCCACTTAGTGGCACAAGTCTCATTGCATTTCAAATCGTGTTTGGCTAATATTTGGGTAATGAAATGGCAAATAAGGTGAATTGGGGTGAGTAAACTAACTGACTCCCTCTCCAGTCCCTTGTCCGTTGTTGTCGTGCGGGGATTTAGGAGGCGAGAACTGGAGCCCAATGCTGGGAATCTACCCTGCCTTGGGCCTCAACCCTCAACTCAATTAATTTTGAACTGTCTTTGTCCCCTCCTGCTTTTTCGTTTCCGTCCTTTCTCCATCCCCTTCAACTACCCACTTCCTAAGGTGTGAGAGCCATGCTGAAAGGATGAAAGGCTGACTTTTTGCCCGAACGGCCTGAGCGAGCCATGGGCACGGTATTCCCCTGCTTTAGTTGTCTATCCCTTACCCCTTAAGGGGACCCTGAGGGGTGGACAGTTTCTCTTCCTCAACATACTCTAGGCTTACCATGGCCAATAATGGAGACGTTATACCCTTGTTTGGGGCTTGCCCCTTCATCAATTAGCCCCACCAACTCAAGCTCTCCCCTCTCCCGGTAGCCTGACCCCAGGCTCTTCTTTGACCACGACTCTGAACAAGTCACAAGAGACATTCCTGCTCTCCCAACATTCTCAACTTCATCACCTCTACCCCGTCCTTCTACCACCCCATCCTTATAAATATCTTAAATACTCTATTAAGACTTAAAGACTTACTCGCCTGCCTCACGGACTATGATGTGATATCAATACAATGCTACTCCAGTCTTCCTAGAGGTCATTGTAAGAAGCCCACCAACACTGCCAAAATTACTTTCCGTAGACATGACCTGCCCTTTAATGTTTACATTGGCGGAGAATCCCTCCCTGTCCGACCATATCAACCTCCTTCCGGTCAGTGTCAAAACTGTTGGCGTTTAGGACATCCTGCCAAACACTGCCGTTCCACAGCCCAATGCCCTCTATGTGTCCAACCTGGTTATAAACGATCAAACTGCTCTGCACAGTTACGCACATTTGCCAATTGTGGCGGCCCCCATAATGTATTTTACAGGGGCTACCCTGCCTACAAGTTTGAGTCCGAGGTAGCAACTCTCAGATCCAGACTTGATCTCTGCGTGAAGCCAGACGACGAGGTTTTTCTCTTACTCCCTACTCCAGTAAGGTCGCTCGCTCTTCCCCTCCACCTACCTCCCAAGATGTTCCTACACCCTCCGCTATACTTATCCCTCCTACATCTTACTTCCCCACTTCTACCTCCTACCTTCTCCAGTCAAATTCTTTTGCCATTCTAAATCCAGACACTCCAATCTCTACTGCAGCGACAACACCTTCCCTTCCCTCCCCGTACTACCCGCAGCAGACAGACTAAACGTTCCACCCCTTCTCCTACCTTACACTCACCTCCACCTACCTTTGCCTCTACTCCTCAGACACGTTTCCTCTTCCCATACATAAGAAAACCTTTCTCTCACAAAATCCCAACCAACTGCATTACAGAAATTATTGAAGATAAAATTATCAGCTCGAGTCCCAAATTGACACCGAAACCCCGCATCCACCCTCAAATTCCACAATTGCTCCCTCCATACTCAAAGTCACTGCCGATATCCATCCTCCGCAAACTCATATTCCCCCTACACCCCTTCCTCCTACTCCCTCCCAACACAGCCCACCCCCCAGCTCCAGCTCCACTTACATTAACCCTCCCTCCATTCCCTATATCCCTTCCACTATCTCCTGGATACACACGTGAATTCCTTATGTCACAACTATGCCCTTCCCCAGATCCTCCACTTCCTGATACTACACCACCTCCCCCCTTTCATTCCTTATCTCACCCCCTACCTCCTTCACCTTCAAATTCTCCAACACGCACTGTCACCACTATCACTTAAAGATCATCTAAAGTATAGCTCTCCTACATTGGAATATTCGCGATTTCCGTTCTCACGGATCTTGGCTTCGTCATATCCTTTCTTCTTATAACCCATTCATTATCTGCCTCCAAGAAACTTTTCTTACACATCCTCCCTTACCAATTCCCAATTACCATTTTGTCTCTTCCTTAATCTCCCTTTATATCTCGTCTATACTTATACACCAGGAAACACCTTCTGTCATACCTCTCTTTCAAACCATTGTCCGGTGCACAGTTAATCGTCTACTGCTCCCCTTCCCACCCCAATGACTATGTTGCCTTTGAAAATCTAATTTCCCAACTCCAAACACCTTTCCTTGTAGTTGGTAATTTTAACTGCCACCACACTCTTTTGGATGATTCTATCACCAGTTCCCGTGGCCGATCCCTAAAATGCTTCTTCTACACAGCTGACATTATTTCTTAATTCAGATCGCCCCACGCACTTTGATATAGGCACGCAATCTTTTTCATGCTTTGATTTCTCTCTATGCTCCCCTTCTCCCCGTTTAGATTCCCATTGGTCAGTTCCAGCCCACTTCCCCTATAGTGACCACTTTCCAGTCCTCCTTTCTCATACTTCATATGAACCACTTCCTAACCCCCCACGCTCGTGCTTTGATAGAGCTGATTGGCGTACTTTCACATCACTCTCTACTATTCCCACCCATCTATCCCCCTTCTCGTCAATTTCAGATACAATGATACAATGTTTCATAGCTACAAGCCTGAGAGCTGCCTATACAGCCATTCCTCGAACTTCAAGACCTTATACCTCCAGATGTTGTATGGCGTTGGGGATGCCTCCCCCATCCAACCCCCGTCCTCCATATTAGAGATACTCTCATCTCTGATCCTCTCCAAATCACTAATGCACTAGGTGACCACACTTCTCTACCATTGAGACCATCAAGGAACGCACCCCGATCATCTTCACTTTATCCTCTGCTGAGTCCTATAATGCTCCTTTTCCTTTCTCTGAATTCAATGCTGCCTTACAGTCGTGCCGAAACACTCGTGAAGGCCCAGACCTTCCATCTTTCTCTGTATCCTTCCTATTAACTATTTTCAACCACATATGGAAGTCAGGAAATTTTCCTTCTCTTATCCTCCCCTTCTTGAAACCCAATAAATCGTCCCATCGCTCTAACTGCCTGTGCAAACTACTAGAGCGAATGGTTAACTCCCGTTTAATGTGGTATCTTGAATCTTACAATCTTCTCTCTCCTTCTAGTTTGGTTTCCGCCGTGCCCGAACTACAGCTGACCCCCTTGCTCTTTTCGAGAAATATATTACATCTGCATTTGCACGCCACGGATCCGTATTAATCATATTCTTTGACCTAGAAAAAAACATATACCACATGGCAATACCATATTCTCTAAATATTTGTCCTCCCTAGGCATACACAGAAACATGGGTGTCTTTATAAGGTCTTTTATCCAAACGTACTTTCCAGGTCAAAATTGCCTCTTCCCCATCACCATCCTTTCCTCAGTTCCAAGGCGTCCCATAAGGCAGCTCAGCACCACTTTATTCCTTCTTGCCGTTTATGACATTGTCTCAGTTCTACCACCAGGAACCTGAGTATGTTGATGATTTAACCATCTTCGCCTGTGGCACATCCATACAAAATCTCCGCCAATTCTTTTAGTCTGCATTATCATCACTATCTTCCTGTGCCACTAGCCATGGCTTTCACTTTTCTACCTCCAAATACTTCTCCACCCTTTTCTCTCACGCACGTGTAGATCCCAAACCTCCGCTCAGATCGCAAAACTATCCTCCATCTTCATGTCATCTACTCCGCTCCCTCCGCTTACCCCTAGGCGCCTTTCGTTCCTCTCCAGTTGAGAGGTATGTTCAATTCCACCAACTTTCCCACACCAAACTAACTGTCCACCGATCCCTGCTTCCTACCATTGCTTCTTCTCCATGTTTACCGACTTTCTCCATTTGCTTGGATACCCTCCTCTCCTATTCCCCCTTTCCTCATCTCCGACTTCTTCCGTTTTCTGTCTATTCAGTTCTTTCATGGCTTATACCTTACCGCCTTATTTGCTCCTCTGTCTTCCCTGACTAGATCAGGGAAGTAAATTGGAGTGGATGCACTGATTAAAGAAGTAAATTAGGACAGAAGGACTGACTAAAAAATAAAGTGGGTATGTAATATTCCAGCTATAGTCAAGGGAGACTGTTTTCTGAGAGAAATATTTTGAATAATCAATCTTTGCACCATTGTAAATTAATTTGTATCTACTCAATAATAAATCCGAAATTTGTGTATGAGATACATTCATGATGAATCAACAAGTAGATACCCAAGTAAATACCACATAAAAGCATCACCACTGTCGATATTATGAAGGCCTACCCAAGTTCTATATAATATAAGGATTGATCAACGGCAACCCTGCGCGCGAGAGGTTGACGTCACCTGCGCCATACTCCCGCAGTACAACTCGTCTTGTAATATTACATAATAAAAGTTTCATTATTTCACAAGATCTGAATATTCGCTTGTAAAACATATCAAGATATCGTATTTTGATAGCTTTTATAGTTCTGATTTCATTGCTAATACTAAATTAAAGATTACATTGCCCCAGAAACACTGAGCAAAATTAGTAACCTAATATGGCAATATATAAATAATTGTATAAATATTTTGACAGATTAAGAGAAAGAGAGTATAAATTTTGCTATATAGCACTTTACAGACACAATATCCATGAAAATAGATAAGCTACAGCTTCATTACTAATATCACACACACACACATATATCTTATTTAAATAATTGTGCAGACATACAGATCAGTGTTAGTGAAAACCAACCGTGTTACAAAATAATCTAAG